ATTATAATCAGCGGTTTGTGGCCTTGGCAAACCGTACTGAGGAGATACCAGAATCGGCGTTGCTGGATTGTTACTTGGGAGGCTTGAAACCAGGATTGAAACAGGATGTGTTGGTTCAACGGCCCACCTCTGTTCTCAGTGCCATGGCTCTGGCTAGGCTCTTTGCAGAACCGACCTCGACAGGATTTTCAGTGCCCAGGCCTTCAGTTATACACAACAATACGTCGAAGACAATGACACCATACACAAGCGGCGGTCATAATGTCTCCACAACATCGTCAGGAGGAGGGAAGACAAATCTTCCCCCATTGCTGCCGACACCTAAAATGCCTCCGATTAAGAAAATGTCACCGGCGGAGATGCAGATTCGGCGTGAGAAGGGTTTATGCTATACTTGTGACGCCAAATTCACTCCCACGCACAAATGCCCAAACAAACAGCTCATGTTACTACAGAGCGAGGATGAACCGGAGGAACAAAATGACGAGACCCCTGAGACTATAGAAGCTGATGCCACGTTGCACCATCTATCACTTTACGCACTAAGAGGAACCAGAGGTCCGGCGACTATTTGCTTCCATGGAACTATTCAGGGTACCAGGGTGCAGGTTTTATTGGATGGGGGCAGCTCTGACAATTTCATCCATCCTCGTATAGTAACCCACCTCAAACTACCTGTGGAGGAAACGACTGAAATCAGAGTCTTGGGTGGTACTGGAGGAAAAATCCTGAAAAGCGCTGAAGAAGTATGCAATGTAGAAATACAGATCAATGGTCATATGATCTCCATGACATTATATGTGTTACCTATCACGGGAGTTGACGTGGTAATCGGGGCAGATTGGCTCGAAACATTGGGACCTCATATAGCTGACTATAGTACATACACCGTAAAGTTCCTCCAAGACGGGCAGTATATTTCATTAACAGGGTTCAGGGGACCAGCACTACTTCATGCTCAGTTACACCACTTGACCCGTATTCACCAGATGGATGCTATGGCGGCATGCTTCGTGCTCGAAAGTTTATTAGAGGATACAGCAACTGATAAAACAAGGGAGGACGTGCCGAAAGATTTAACTTTATTACTACAGCGGTTTGAGAAGGTCTTCGAGGTCCCACGGGGTTTACCCCCTTCGCGACACCACGAGCATCGAATTGAATTAGTAGCAGGCACAGGGCCAGTTCGGGTTCGGCCATACCGGTATCCGTTCAGTCAGAAAACAGAAATCGAAAATATGGTTTCTGAATTACTTAATGAAGGGTTGATACAAGCTAGCTCAAGTCCTTTCTCGGCCCCTGTGATTCTGGTGAAAAAAAAAGATGGAACATGGCGCTTTTGTGTCGATTATAGGGCCCTGAATGCTGTTACTATCAAAGACGCATTTCCAATGCCAACCGTGGATGAATTACTCGACGAACTTCATGGCTCTGTTTTTTACTCCAAGCTGGATCTCCGATCAGGATATCATCAAATCTTAATGAGGGAGGCGGATAGAGAAAAGACAGCTTTCAGGACACATCTCGGGTTGTATGAATGGCTTGTAATGCCATTTGGACTCACGAATGCACCGGCAACATTCCAAGCTCTGATGAATACCATCTTCCGACCTTTCCTTCGTCACTTTGTGTTGATTTTTTTCGATGACATATTGGTGTATAGTCCTACGTGGGAATTACATTTAATTCATTTAGAGAAGGTGCTTGAGACTCTGTGGCAGCATCAGTTGTTTGCAAAAAAAACGAAATGTACCTTCGGTCAACAGCGTGTGGAGTATCTCGGGTACATTGTAAACGGGAAGGGAGTAGAGGTGGATCCAGGTAAGTTGAAGGCGATCCAGGATTGGCCGATACCCGAGAACGTCAGTCAACTTAAGGGGTTTTTGGGCCTCAGTGGGTACTACCGTAGATTCATTCAACATTTCGCCCAGCGAGCTGGCCCACTAACACGTCTATTATGTAAGGACGGGTTTCGGTGGTCTTTAGAAGCCTAAACAGCTTTTGATGGACTCAAAGCAGCCTTGACTCAAGCTCCGGTGTTAGCCCTCCCTGATTTCTCCAAGCCTTTCGTGTTAGAAACGGATGCATCGGGCGTCGGGGTGGGTGCTACATTAAGTCAGCAAGACCACCCGATTGCGTTTTTCTCCAAGAAGCTCTCTCCTAGGATGCAGGCTCAGTCCGTTTATGTTCGTGAACTTCATGCTATCACGGAAGCCGTTGCTAAGTTCCGCCACTATCTACTGGGTCATCCTTTTGTCATCCGCACTGATCATGCTAGCTTGCGGCATCTTAATAATCAAACAATTCAGACGCCAGAGCAAGAGACCTGCCTCCCAAAGCTTTTGGGGTATCAATTTACAATTGAGTATAAACCCGGGAAGCATAACCAAGCTGCAGATGCCTTGTCCCGCAACTGCTATATGGCACTGTCTTCTGTGACCGATCCCTTCATCAATAGGGTCTATGTTGAAGTGCGCTCGTCTGCAGAAATTGCGACATTAAAAGAAAGAGTGGAACAGGGGTTGATCACTGAACCACAATACATAGTCAGACAGGGCGATCTTTTTTGGAACCAACGGCTAGTCATTCCCCGAGATAAACCGAACTTGATCCCTTTAATACTTACTGAGCTGCATTCATCTGTTATAGGCGGTCATGCAGGGTTTATGAGGACTTTTCACAGAGTTGCTCGACTGTTTTTTTGGAGGAATATGCGTGCGGATATTCGAGATTTTATTCGGCGATGTTCAGTTTGTCAACAAGCTAAAATCTCGAACCTTCATCCAGCAGGACTACTCAGTCCATTACCTATTCCGAACTGCATCTGGGAAGATATTGCTATGGATTTCATTATTGGGTTGCCGAAGATTAAGAAGTGTACTGTTATTCTGGTAGTAGTGGATCGTTTATCTAAGTATGGGCATTTCATAGGCCTTCCCGGTAATTTCTCCAGCACCCAGGTTGCAGAAGCATTCGTAGAGCACGTCGTCAAACTGCATGGCATCCCAAGGACAATAGTTTCGGACAGGGATAAAGTCTTCATGAGCGCTTTCTGGCGGCACCTTATGCGATTACAGGGGACCCAATTAAATTTTAGTTCTGCATACCATCCACAAACGGACGGTCAATCTGAGGCCCTCAACAAGTGTGTGGAAATGTATCTACGGTGCTTGGTCTATGACTACCCGAGAAAATGGCTTGCGTATCTTCCATGGGCAGAGCTGTGGTACAACACTTCATTCCATCACTCAACCAACATGACTCCTTTTAAGGTCGTATACGGTCGGGAACCGCCACCCCTGATCCGACACTCTTCTCTCGAAGATACACCCTTTGATGTTCACCGTGCATTAGAGCAACGCGATGAGTTGCTAGCTCAACTGAAGATCAACATCCTGCACGCTCAAGAACGAATGAAGCGTTATGCCGATGCTAAACGACGGGAAGTAGAATTCCAGGTTGATGACTGGGTATTAGTGAAGCTCCAACCGTACCGTCAACATTCAGTTGCCCTTCGTCGATATCAGAAGTTAGCATTGGTGTATTTTGGCCCGTTTCGAGTCGTTGAAAGGGTTGGCAGTGTCGCTTATCGTTTGGCACTACCAGACCACGCCAAGATACATCCTGTCTTTCATGTCTCTGTTCTCAAGAAGTTCCACGGGGAGGGTGACCCGACATCATACTTACCTCTTCCGCTATGTACTACTCCAGAAGGTCCCATTTGCCAACCTCTCACGATTCTAGATAACCGAATCATCCGACGAGGTCATAACGCTGTACGTCAATTTCTGGTGCAATGGGATGGATCTCTTGATGCAACGTGGGAAGACGATGAAACTCTCCGGTCATTATACCCCAACATGGACCTTGAGGACAAGGTCCCATTTAATGGGGGAGGTATTGTAACAGATACCGTTGAGATGGGCTCAAATGGAGGTGATCCAAATACAAGTGGGCAGCCCATTATATTGAGGAAGAGCCGAAGAGCCCGAAGAAAGACCTGGAAGCTCAGGGAATTGGACGATGCGGAAGATATTATATAACAGCCTGGGTTGTTAGTAGTGGGGTGTGCATGTATTCGGTTATTTCTTTTCTGACAGATTCTCTGCGTGTCTATCTCTCTCTCTCTCTCTCTTTCCCCCTTCGTTCCCACTGTAACTCTCGTTCTGCATGTCTGTGTAGCGACCGTGTTCATACTCGGAATTACCAGGACTGATTTCATCGGTTATAAATATATATCCAGAGTTGCATTCGTATTAACTGTGTATTATTAAGCTAACGTGACACCTATAAACTAAAATTTAAAAAAAAAACCACTTTCCATCCTTAATTAATATAAAACCTACTTAATTAATTTGGATAGATTAAAAAAATGACAATACTTACATTAAGTTTCTTATATTGATTATGTCAAGTTCTCCGATCACTTAGGATCATATGTCATATATATTTTTAAATATTAACATTTAATGGTGTTTAATTATAAACGAAAAAAGACACATAGTCATATATGATTAGAAAACTTGACATAATGAATATAAGAAACTTGATCTAAATTTTCCTTAAAAAATTAGTTAAATAAATTATTTGTCAAAAATATGTGTTCTTTTTACTTAATTAACGATATCACATTATAAAATGACAAGTATTACATACTCTTCTGTCTTGTCATTTAATTTAGTTACGGTTTTTAAGTCTTCTTTTATATTCTCAAATACTATTTCATAATTACAGACATTCTCACTTAGATACTTCCGAAAGCATGATACACATGCATACACACACACACACACAGGGGGGGGGTTTATAATGCGTATGTTTCACTTGAGCTATGTCGGTTAAGTGCATTATTCATCAAGCGTATAACTGTATTGTTGGTACTCGGTTTGGCTGAGAAGAAAATTAGAGAGAAAAGTTTTTATTCATAGTATTCTCTCCCCCTCTATATTTTCTTTCTATTATTTTTTTTTTTTGTCCATCCAAACCAAGTCATAGAATCTCTACTGTTTAGTACAATCGGCAGGAGCAAAAGAAACTTTTTTCCGATCAAGATCATGCTCCACCTCAAAATCAATCTGAGCCACATTTCCGTAAATGGGCGTTCCATCTGTAGGAAGCATTGCAAAGCATATAACATCGTTGGATATGCGACGGAAAAAGTTCTGAGGTTTTAAGGAAAGGTTGGCTCCTGTGAAATGAACCTCAAAATTTGGGAAATTCTGGATGGAGTTAGCATTTCTGTAACACAATTTGTAATGATTGTTCTGTACTATGAATTGGTTGGCTCCAATCGCTTGCTTCACCAAAGCTTCAATCTGCTCATAAAAGCTTGATGGAAGCATTGTCAATGTCGTCCCAGAATCAATAAATATGTTCCCATTGCTTTGACCTGTCCGCACTGTCTGTTTTCCAACAGTGATACCTATCAACGCCCATTTCACACAAACAATTTAGACCAGGGATCAAAGAGTCGTATAAAATCAATCTGCATAAATCCAAAGGATAAAACTAACTTGAGATGAAAATAAATGAAACAACCTCAAATTAAATAGCACTAGCTAGTACCTTCAAGGTTGAGGAAGTAAAACAACGACAAGGAACCATTTTTTGTGATCAGTGGAGTGGACACAAGCCCATTTCCTGATATGGTGGCTGCTTCCCCAAACCTTAGTTTAGTTGTGGTCTTTGGACTGTAAGGAGGCAGACAGTACGAGAATTTGTGACCTACTTTTCCCATTTGTGAAACTAAAGACAAGCTCCCTTGACCGAGCCCCACAAGTCCTGCGTCGTTCTCGTTGAATAGTCCATTGTCGTTGTGTCCACACCCAAATGCCGTCTTAGGAAACAAAACATTTCGGCCGAAACTAACTGATTCTGTGGCCAGTTCCCCCATTGTGTAGGAGTTATCCCTATAAGAATAAAAATAGGTACACACATTGGATGATCCACATCGAGGATAGGTTTGGCCTTGCACGTAGTGACGGGGCAGAGCGTTACAAGGGAGTGATCGACATGACAAAGACATATACGTGGAAGAATTTCTTGGATCAAAGAGCGGTGCCTTTTGGCCGTAGCACTGAGGTTGGGGACAAGGTTTGCATTGGAACCAAATAAGATCACTTCCTGTGTCTGCAACTGCCCATCTCTCTACGGGTGGAGTGCCAATAGATATCTTCATCAGGTAACTTCCATCGTCAGGGAGTATATCAGTTTCTACTGACTCAGCGATGGAAGACTGGCCAAAGCGATTGGCTCGAGAAATGGAGCGCAACACAGCGTTTTGAACTCTCTCCAAGTCGGTCATTGAGGAGTTGTAGAAGGGAGATAATGGTGAGTCACGATGAATGAGGTCGATGCTGAAACCTTTTGGGAGCTTATTATTTGTTGCAGAGACATTAATGGAAAAGGTTGAGAGAAAGAGAATAATAAGAGTGAAAGAGAAGAGAGGGAATGATGAGGAAACATGTTTGAGGAATAATGGTAGGGATAAATCACAAAGAAGATTTGATGAGCGTGGAAGGGGGTGGAGGTGCTTCCTTATATAGAAGAGTTTGAGTTGTTTGGGTTACAAATTGCACTTAATTGTGATTAATACCAACTTATAAGTCTGAACTAATTTTGATGCTCATCGTAGTATAAGCATGCTTATCAAATATCAACGGTTGAACTATGAACAACAGAGATTTAACTTTTTATTTTAAAAATATATTTTTTTAAAAGGCAGATGATACAAAGTAATGGTGATCTTTTAACGCTAAGTTTTTGTAAAAAATGATTTTTATTTAAAAATTATTAATTAAAAATTTTAAATGTAACGTGTTAAAACTATATTTGAATTATATAGATTTTACCGCAGTAACGAGTATTATGGTGTTTATCAATGTGTCCTATTAGAAGTTGTCAATTTTGTTTTAAAATTTTTTTAAATTTCTTTTAAGGCAAAAGCAGCTTTGCTCAATTTTTTTTTGTCATGATTGTCTTTATAATATTCTTTACTTGCCCTCTGAACAATTATTTTTAACTAATATCTTTAGTTAAAAGAGTACTTCTCGAATGATCATTTAATCAGATAAATATCTTTCTTACATTGTTTTTTTCTTATAGATATCCCTTAATTATTTCACTCCCAAACTGTTAAACTCCTTTTTCTCTTTTAAATCAAAGCAATACCAAATGAGCTTCATTATCGTCGCTAGTGAGTTTCACTACTGATTAGGGTGTACACCTTTTGTCATTAATATAAAACCTAACTAATTAATTTGAGTTAATTAAGAATGTTAGTTAAATTAGATAATATGATATATTTTTTCTAAAATTTTCAAAGTATTTTTCTTAATTCACTCCCTCCTTCTCCTACTTGATTATTATTGGAGGATATTAATAGGGTTAATTTGAAAAAAAAAATGATAAATATATGAAATAGGTTTTATATATAAGATTAATATTAACTTTCTAATTAACTCTTATATTAAGGACGAGAGGAGTATTTTATAATTAAACAGGTATACATTTTAGGATATATATTCAATTAATATTTTATTCACATTTAATTTATTTTATATATTTTTCTCTAAATGTAATTGTTAGTTGAAAATAGACTCTGGATAGAAAGTCTACTTATTTTGGTAAAAAAATTAATAAATAGATAAAATATAAAATAAAGGAAATAGGATAAAAAGAAAAAGAAAAGAAAGGAAAAGGAGAGAAGAAGAACTGGAAAAACACAGGGTGTATTTGGATTAGCACTAACAAAATTGACTTTTATTTAATCTGACTTTTGCAAACATGAGTTGGGGTAAAAGTCAATTAGTATAATGTAATTTATATTTGGATTAACTTTTATAAAAGTTAGCTTAATAAATTGAAACCTATTTGGATAAGTAATGAAAAAGTAAGTTCTAATGTAACATGATTAAAAAGGGTATATCATTTTCCTTCAAACTAATTTGTCTAACTTATAAATTGATTTGTAATCTAGTGATGTGTATAAATATTTTGAAGAGATCGGGTAACATATAATATAATTAAGTAATATTTAGCTTACTTAATCTCTTTAAGTCTTATATTAAGAACTTGAGATAATATATCATATATATATATATATATATATAATTTGATAAATTTTAAGAAAAACAATGAATGAAAAATAATTAAAGTACTACATGAAAAAATATCAAATTATTAGATCAAGATGGGACCCACTTAAATACCTTCATCTTTCTTTTTGATCTTTATTTACTTTCTCTCTCCACGTTGGCACGTGCAAAACCGCAACCAACTTTTCAGGCAGAAGTTGGTTGGACATAAAGTCAAACCAAATAACTAATTAACTCCAAAAAAGATCTAAAAGTCAGTTGTACAAATTCCTAAACACTTAGGTATCATTTGCTACGAAGCATTAAAAATGAGGAGTTGAGATTGGGATTGCAATTGAAAAAAATCATTAAAATAATACTTAGCATGAGTAATTGTTTGTTATATGGGATTAGGCAAACCCATAAAGGTGGGATTGGGGAATACCACTTCCCCCCATGGTATTTTCCAATCCCACATATATGGTTTTGGCTAATCTCATATATCAAACAATCTCTTATAGTAAATACTCTATTAATAGATTTTTTTTAGTTGTAATCTCAATCCTAATCCCTTATTTTCAATGCTTCCTATCAAACGTAACCTTAAAGCCATCAGCATTGATCCAAACATACCCGAAGTAGGCTGGACATCAGATAATGGAAGGATGAGAAGGCACATCCTACTATCTTCCTATCCATATTCTTTTTTCCTTTGAAATATTTGGAGACCAAGAATTTTTTGAATACCGAAACTGAATCAACTTCTTTTCTTAATGAATTTATTTCTAAATTCTCTGATTGGGGGGAAGGATGTATCTCAATTTAAAAAAAAAAGCTAGTTTAGATTATTTTGTTATTCACTCTAACTTATTAGTTATGAATATATTTTAACTTCTCTCAATTATATTTATTTCTTGTGTGCTTAATGTTGATTTTATGTTAACCATTAAATTAAATATGTGCGTAGTCTCAATGAACTAGAAGGTAAAGGAAGAATAAAGTAGATCTAAAAAATTAAATACAAATATTTTGTCACTATAATTAATTGAAAAATCAATTCACATAACAGAAAGTAGTGACTTATATGATGAAGACTTCAAGTGATTGTATTTTCTTGGGGTAAATTTATTTCTGGTGTGCTTAATGTTGATTTTATTGCCACCATCAAATCAAATATGTAAAGGTAGTCTTAATGAACTGCAAGTTGAAGAAAGAATTTAGAACTAGAGAAGTAAATACAAATATTTAGCCACTATAATTGATTGAAAAGTCAACTCAAATAATAGAAATTAGTAACTACTTATGCGATGAAGACTTCAAGTGATTTTATTTTCTTTAGGTAAATTTATTTCTTCTGTGCTTAATGTTAATTTTATGGCCACCATTAAATCAAATATATAGGTAATTTTAATGAATTAGGAGGTGAAGAAAGAAATTAGATTTAAAAAAGTAAATACAAATACGTACGTAGTTTAATTGATTGAAAAGTCAACTCAACGTCATAGAAATCTGTAAATTATATGATGAAGACTTCGAGTGATTGTATTTTCTTTAGGTATACTTATTTCTTGGGTGCTTAATGTTGATTTTATTGCCACCATTAAATCAAATACTCTTCTGATCCTATTTATAAGTCACTTCCATCATGTTTTATATAGATAAAAAAAATTTTAAATTTCATTAACTCTCATTTGAAATTTAATAATTTTTTAATTTTATGCTTATTTAATATATATTATACCTTATGTAAATAAAGTCAACACAATAATAAATAAAGAGTAAAATTATACATTCATACAAAAAATTTCTATCCGTGCCATATAAAGAGGACCACAAAATACTCCTTCCGTCCCTTTTTATAAGCAATATTAGATTCCATTAAATAGATCAAAAAATTAGTTAAAGACAATAAATAGGTAGAAATTAAAAGTTCTTTCTCCAAAATACCCTTATTTATGAGAGGAGTGGGAGGGTATGAGAAAGAGATCAAGAAAATTATTATAAAAAAGAGAATTATGAAAGAGAGAGAATGTGGTTGGAGAGAGATGATAATTTGGAAAATGAGATAATAAATATATTAGGTATTAAAATAAATAATTAATGGGGACAAAATAGAAAATTTTCTACAAAACTTTAAGACAACTCGTAAATGTTGCTTATATTTGGATACTATTTGGTATGAGGAAAATAGAGGAGAGGGGAGGGGACGGGAGGGGAGGTCTATTTAGGCACCGTTTGGGTGACACCCCAAACCATGATTTGGGTGATAAGTAGGAGTGGAAACAGGCCAGGCGGCCTGTCAGGGGCCTACAGCCTGGCCTGTATTTGGCCTGGCCTGGCCTGGCCTGTTTTTCAAAAGAGACAGGCTCAGGCCTGTTTGAAGGCCTGTTTAAGTTAATAGGCTAGGCTTAGGCTCTCTAAAAGGCCTGTTAAGCCTGTTAGGCCGGCCTGAGCCTGTTAGAAACTTATAATTATAATATATAAAAAAATTAGTTAATGGTATTGTTAATGTGTACTTTTAATTTATTTTTTTAATTTTAATATATAGTTAATAGCTTAGTTCTTCCTTAGATTTTGAAGTTTATTTGACAAGTAAAGATAAAAATATAATTTAAAATAAAAATATCAATAAATAATATGATCTTTAAATCTTAAAAATATAAACAAAATAGGAAAGAAAATTTTTGTTCCAAGAATGATAGATTAATTAATTTATGTATTATATTAATTAAATTATGATACTCTCTTTATTCATTGTAAAATTAATAGTTTTTTTTATTTATTTGTCTTAATTTTTTTGGTACTTAAACATAGTTTTGTCCCAAATTTTAACATATAATTTGAATTAGTTTTCAATAATATCCTTATAAATTGTAATTAAAATTTAAAACAGTACATATGATACTAAAATTTAAATAAAAGACAAAACTAAAAAAATTAATTATTATGTATACTTTTTTTATTTTAGCTTTTTTCTAAAAAGAAATATTGTAATTTGAATTTTTAAAAAAAACAGGCTTTTAACAGGCTTCAGGCCAGGCTCAGGCTGAAAAATAAGCCTGTAACATGCCACAGGCCAGGCTCAGGCCTATAGGCTACAAAACAGGCCTGGCCTGTTAAGAGTAAAGCCTGGCCTGGCCTGGCCTGTTTCCACCCTTAGTGATAAGTCACCCAAACACCCACCCAATTTGCACAAACCATGGTTTTTGAAAAAACAAAAATTTTTTGC